CAGTGAAAGAACAGAAAGAAAAAAATAAACATTTATAGTGAAGTTTCAGACTTGCCGTAGAGGGAGTGCCTCAAAGGTTCACCAATCTAATTTCTAATGGAGGGATTGTCCTCTAATAATAAACTGGGCCCAGAATGTCTGGAGTTTAGAGTAATGAGAGTTGATTGCATTTTAACAGACAAAATTCTCATTGAGGTCAACAGAATCGATGCAGGAAGCATCCGCACCTTGTAACACTCGCTGAATTCCAACTCCCATTTTCCCACTCCTTTGGCTGATGGAGGCTGGCCCAGAACCATGGGACACCATCCCAGAATAGTGGTCGGTCACTTAGGACTGAAATGAGGAGGAATATCTGCACTCAGAGGTCATGATGTGGAGGTGCCGGTGTTGGACTGGGGGTGGACAAGGTCAGAAATCTCACGGCAGCAAGTTATAGTCCAATAGTTTTATTTGAAAACACAAGCTTTCGGAGCCTCAGTCCATCTTCAGGTGTTAGTGAGAGAGGTAGTATCAGACACAGAATTTATAAGTAAAAGATCAAAGGTTCACACCATTGATGAGGATGTACTAAACAAACCTAAGACGCTGTTAAATCTTTAATCAGTGAGAAACTTTTAATTGATTAATATGTACATGTCAATCCCTGAATTCATTTGAAGTCATGGTCCTGAGAGAACTAAAGGTTTTATCAGGGTAAAAAAGAGGTGACTTTTTAGGTCAGACAATGCATGTTAGGTGAGAGACCTTGTTTAGAGGGTTTGAAGGGTCCCGACCCGAAACGTCAGCTTTCGTGCTCCTCTGATACTGCCTGGCCTACTGTGTTCCCCCAGCTCCACACTGTGTTATCCCAAACTCCAGCATCAGCAGCTTTTACTACCTGCTTGTTTAGAATCTGTTTGTGTTTTAGTTTGGAGTCAGACTGGTTCTATTGCTGAAGTAGGAATTTATAAAATGCACATTGACTGACTGTCTATAAATTGTGTGCTTTTTGAACAAAATAAAATATACCTGCAGATACAAATTCACCCCATAGATGTGTGTGTGTGTGTTTGTTTGGGGTGGGGGGCTGGGGTGGTTGAGGGATACGTGAGTATGTTTGTGTGAACGTGTGAGTGTGAAGAGTGTAGTGCGACATGTACCCAAATCCCAGTTGAGGCGTCCTCAACCCTCTCCCCCACCCCCTCCTCTCTCTCACACACACACACACCATCTCTACCCTTCCCCCCACCACTCTCTCTCATATACACACACACACACACACACACACACACACACACACACAGACACAAATCTATGGGTTAAATTTATATTTGCAGATACATTTTATTTTGTTCAAAAAGCATACAATTTATATACAGTCAGTCAATATGATGTTTTATAAATTCCTACTTTAGAAATACAACCAGTCTGACTCCAAACTAAAACAAACATGTTCTAAACAAGGTCTCACACCTAACATGCATTGTCTAACCTAAAATGTCACCTCTTCTTTACCCTGATAAAACCTTTCGTTCTCTCAGGACCGGAACTTGAAAGGAATTTGGGGATTTACATATACATATTAATCAATTAAAACCTTCTCACTGATTAAAGATTTAACAGCATCTTGGGTTTGTTTAGTATATCCTTATCAATGGTGTGAACCTTTGATCTTTTACTTATAAATTCTGTGTCTGATGTTACCTCTGTCACTAACACCTGAAGGAGGACTGAGGCTCTGAAAGCTCATGTTTTCAAATAAACCTGTTGGACTATAACCTGGTGCCGTGTGATTTTTGATACAACACAGTGTGGACCTGGAGTAACACAGCAGGCCAGGCAGCATCAAAGGAGCAGGAAAGTTGATGTGAGAGATAGCAGGAACTGCAGATGCTGGAGAATCTGCAATAACAAGGTGTACAGCTGGATGAACACAGCAGGCCAATTTTTTCTGAAGAAGGGTCCAGGCCCGAAACGTCAGCCTTCCTGCTCCTCTGATGCTGCTTGGCCTGCTGTGTTCATCCAGCTCTACATCTTGTTATCTAGGAAAGTTGATGTTTTGGCTCAGGACCCTTCTCCAGAAAAATTTTTCTGATAGCTGACCTTGTGCACTCGGAGGGTGAAAAATCTTTGGAAGATTCTGCCCAAGTGGGCGAGAGAGGATTAAACATTTGGTGCTCACAACCAGGATCAATAGGTTTCTACATATTAAAAACAGAGTAATATGAGTATAGTGAAGTACAACAAGTCCATTGCAGTGTCATTAACAAACTTAGTTTGCAATCAAACAAGGTCAGAAATGGAATAATTTATTGTTGAGACATTAAGCACTTCATGCATCCTGCCCATGGGACCAAGAACTGGAAATTCTCATCAGGCCTGAAAGTTCCAAATGAGAAACAAAAGCAGAAGTCAAAGCAAAAGGTTTCCAAATAAAGGTTCAAATACTTGGAGAACAGTTTAAGTTCCCAGAGTAAACTTAGACTTGCATTAATTATTGCAAATCGAACTCATCGTGTAATGTGATTGTTCCAATTACCAGATTTTAAAAATAATCATTTTTGGGATGTTGGAACACCAGCATTAAATTGCTCCAAGAAATTGACAGGGAAAATTTGCTTAAATTTTTATGGTAGATTGATGCAACTGACCGATTTTAAGTTTTCTAGGAAACAATTAAGAATTAGAAAACAATGAAGAGTCAACCACATTGATGTGGAACCAGAGTCATGCATAAGTCAGTTAGATCAGCAAAGGACACCTGTATATCAGTTCTCTTTCCAAAGTGACTATCTGGTACTCTTGTCACCGTTTCCAGCTTTTGTGCCTTTTGTGCCCTAATTTTTATACAGTTGAGCTCAGTGAACTTAATGATTCCTTCCTATTTTCGAAGTCTTATATTTATTTCTGAGTAATTCTTTTAGTATTTTCAAAGGGGTCCATGATACGAGCGGTTGCGATTTATATAATTCTGCACTTGCATCACCAACTGTTTGGGGAGCAGGACGTACCATTTCCCCATGCTCATATAGTTGCATTGTGACGCACAACTTGTAACTTGTGCCTGTGCAACCGCCATCTCCACAAGTCCTTGTCATATAAATTGTTGCAATCCTTCAACAGTGAGCACAGGTAACAAGTGCGGTGCTAAAAAAAAAGTACTCTAGTATTACATTACATGCAAAACTAGAAGAGATAAAGTGTGGTAGGAAAGGTGAATGTGCAGTTGACATTGGGCGCCGTTTGAATCTTTGTCCAACGAGTGTAATTATGAATATAAAGAATGCTGATGAAATTGAATATAAAGCTAAGCATATTTTAAAGTATTCAGTCATTAAAGGAACAAGGAAAAGAGTGATGCCAGTGATGTTGAGGTGGCAGTTGATGACTCTCCAACTGCATTTCCATCCTTCACCAAAACCTCCCCCAACAGAGACAGGATATTATAATCCAGTTAGCCTGACTTCGGTTGTTAGTAAAATTGTACAGTTCATTATTAAGGATTAGCTTGCACAGTACTTGGAAGTACATGGTAAAATAAGGCGGAGTCAGAGTGGCTTCATCAAGGGGAGATCATGCCTGAAAAGTCTGTTACAACTCTTTGAGAAGGCAACAAGCAAATTAGACAAAGGAGAGCCAGTGGACATCATCTATTTGGATTTCCAGAAGGCCTTTAACAAGGTGCTACACAGAAGGTTGCTAAATAAATAAGAACCCATAGTGTATGATCTGCACGAAGGAACTGAGGGCATTGTTATTGCATTTGCAAAAGACACAAAGAAAGGAGGTAGTGTTAAGGAAGCAGGTAAGCTGCAGAAGGACTCGGACAGGTCAAGAGAGTGAGCAAAGAAGTGGCAAATGGAATACAATATGGGAAAGTGTGAGGTTATGCACTTTGGCAGGAAGAATAGAGCCACAGGCTATTTTCTAAATGGGGAAAATCTGAAGCACAAAGAGACTTGGGAATCCTTGTTCAAGAATCTCTGAAGGTTAATATGCAGATTCTGTCAGCAGTTAGAAAGGCAAACACACTAGTTTTCATTTTTAGAGGGCTAGAATACAATAGCAGATATGTATTGCTGACACTGTATAAGGCGCTGGTCAGAAATCATTAAGAATGTTGTGAGCAGTTTTGGGCTCCGTATCTAAGGAAGGATGTGCCAGCATTGGAGGAGTCCAGAGGAAGTCTACAAGAACGACCCCAGAGATGAAGGGCTTGTCATACGAGGAGCAGTTGAGGACTCCATTGTGCCCAATGGAGTTGAGAGGGGTGAGGGTGGATCTGATTGAAACATACAGAATACTGAAAGGCTTGGATAGAGTAGATGTGAAGAAGATGCTTCCATCATGAAAGACTAGGACCCAAAGGCACAGCCTCAGAGTGAAGGGACAACACTTTTGAACTGAGATGAGGAGGAATTCCTTCAGCCAGAGTGTGGTGAATTGTTAAACAAAGTTTTATCACCTGATTACTCTTCAGAGGTTAAGAAACTTCTCTTGGCAAAGTGCAAAATTTCTCATCTGTTTTCACCTAATGCTTTCACCTAATATCACATTCATACATGTATCTCCAGTTCTTATCTGTTTTCCAATTCGTTTCAAGTGGAAGACAAGTTCAACAGATATTTTGGCCATCATCTGACTTTACATTCATTTCTGAATGGAGATTTACACAGATTAACAACTGAGTTTCATTTCAGTTCTGCAAAGAGTGACCATTTATGCCACACTAGACATTTTCTTGTTTACAATGCAAAGGACTGTGCATGAATACTTTGACATAACAATAAAAACATCTCAATTATGTGGCATACTGCCAAATGGTCATTCAAAATCAAAGGCTCGAGCAGGAACCAGAAGGCTGAGTCTTAACTTTACATCATAACTTAGAAAACTGACTATTGAATGGTACAGTATTTTCTTCTAGTTCTGGCCCAGAAAATACTATCCTGTTGTTAGACAATGTAGGAATGCATAATACCATATTACCACTAAGCAAATAAATTAGAAAAACCTACCAGACTGAGATTGACAGGAGTTTTTGGCACTGGTACATCGTGTTTATACAAAGTTTCTAAAATATCATTCAAGTCATTTTCCTGCAAGACAGAAAGGAACAAAACTTTCACTGGAAAATTATCTATCAGAAGTGGACTTCAGAAATAAAATTCTCGAATTTAAGAAAAATCAAAGCTGTGACAATTTTAAGCCCAGTGAATCATTTAAATATACATTTTTGACACAGCTTGCCTTCTTAATTGAAATATACATCTCAGCATCAAACATTTCATTAGCCAAAATCAAATGTGCAAAGGAAAGTTTTACAACCATTCATTTCTTCTGAGAAAATCTTCCAAATTAAACCTGCATTATACATGGGAGTCTGTAAATTATTTGAAACAACATATTTGTTGTTTTAATAAAATGTCTCAACATTCTTCATAGGAGTGTTATAAATCAATATCAGACACAGTGCCACAGAAGGCAATATTAGGGAAGGAACCCAAACGTCAAGGAGTATCTTAAAGGAAGAAATAGAGAGGGGGACTTCCAGAGACTACAGGAATAGGCAGGTGAATAGTCAACCACAGTGGTGCAGTGACTAAAATCAGGACTGTTCAAGAGGCCAGATCTCTGATTAATTTCAGTTTTGGCAGATACACATAAATTCCTGGAATCAACTTTTTCACAAGTTACACTCCGAGTTAACGCAAGCAATAACCAAAACCTAAAATGATACAAACGTATTAAGTAATGTTTCTAAATTCTGTAATACTAAAAATAAGGCAACAATTCCATTCCTTAAAATATTTTATGTCCGATATTTAGTGCAGTTCAGTGAACTGGAATTTAAAGAAAACAAGTTTTGATATCAGGGAGACTGCTAACAAAAAAAATGTAAAAGCACATGTGGTCCAGGGTAACTTGGCAAGTTGGATCCAAAATTGATTTAGCGGTGGAAGACAGATGGCGTTGGTAGAAGGTTGTTTGTGTGACTGAAGGCCAGTGTCCAGTGGCACATCACAGCAATCAGTGCTGGGGTCCCTTATTGCCATGATATACATAAAAACAAATAGATGAGAGGGTGGGACAGATAAGTAAGTTTGTGGAAGATACTAAAACTGGGCTGGATGGGTGTCAGTGAGGAAGAATATCTTAAGTTGGACGTAGATATAAATAGATTGGTCAGATGGGCAGATCAGTGGCAGATGGAACTTAATCCTATTAATGTGAGATGATGCACTTTGGAAGAAGTAACATGAGAGTCCTCAATGGCAGGACATTAGGAAGCTCAGAGAAACAGAGGGATCTTGGGATGCTCGTCCACAGATCCCTGAAGGTGGCAGGACAGGTTAATAGAGATTTAAGGCAGTGTCCAGGGCACTTGCTTTCATCAGTCATGGCACAGATTATAACAGCAAGGATGTCACAGTGGAGCCGTAAAGAATTTGGGTTTGGCCACAGCTGGAGTACTGAGAGAGTTCTGGACACCTAATGATAGGAAAGAATGTGATAGCACTGGAGAGAGTGCAGAGGAGATTCACCAGGATGTTGCCTGGGTTTGGGTATTTCAGCTATGAACGGAGACTGAATAAGCTCAGGCTGTTTTTTTTTTTAAAAAAAGAGCAGAGAAGGCTGGAAGGGTCCTAACTGAGGTGTATAAGATTTTGAGGGGCATGGACAGGGCAGATAGAAAGCAATTATCGAGGGGTCAGTAACAAGGGGCATAATTTTAACAGCAGGCTTAGAAGGGATTTGATGAAAAATCTTTTCGCCCAAAGAGGTGATAGGAATCTGGTATGTACTGTCTGCGAAGGTAGTTGAGATGGGAAACCTTACGATCTTTAATAAGTACTTGGATCAGCCCTTGAAGTGTCATAATATTCATGGCTACGGGCCTAGTGCTGGAAGTGGGAGGAGTAGAGTTGGAACAGCTCAGTCGCCCCAAGGCTTCTTCTGTATTTTATGATTCTAATTTACTATCATCATTTCACATAAACTATAATATACTGATTAACAACTGGAAACATGCATCATTGAAAATAAGAAAATAATTATCTCAGAGCTTTTATAGCATATGATTTTAAATATTTGTCCTGAGATTTCCATGTGCAACTTTATTGCTCTTGACCAAAGATGAAGTTAGTAAAGGTAAAGTCAACATGGTCCCAGAAGGCCATAGGGAACGTCTCTCATTGAAGAGAGAGAGATGACCAGTGCTAAGTTAGACCTGAGCATCACCATGCCTCGGGGGAGGGGCAAGGTTGATAAAATGGGGCCTCAGGCAGTGAAGGAATTGGTGGCAATCGGTCTTACAAGCCAGCTATCCAGCCAACCGAGCTGACTAAACCCATACTTGGCTAGGGTCTCCCAATGTGACTTCCAATTACATGAGCTGTTTCTTGAAATTCATGGTTGGAAATTTTACACCTTCACTGCTTGATATCAATTACATTAATTTCAAGTTATTATCTGAAAATTAACAATCACTTGATTACTGTTTAATTTAAAAAAAGTTGGGTCAAACCTGATAAAAGGCATATTACAAGCTAAAGCTTTACCTGCTCCTTAACTAAAAGATCTGCCAATGTATTCAGTAGCTTGTAGTAAACTTCAAACCAAGGCAAATAACTGAAAAAGAAACAGACATTGATTATGTCACATGTATTGCAAAGTATAATTACCCTTCTTTCTCATCTGGATAATAGAGGATGATGTTCATACAAATAGCATCAAATAAACTGGAATGAAAACTTATGTATACACAAGAATAAGCTTTGTTCAAATATGGCAGGGTACCTTTTATATATAGAAAAATCACACACGATCATTTCTCTTGTATGTTTTTCTCAGTCCCCAGTATATTATGTTATATGAAGATGACATGACCATGAAAAACATTTTCACCACTTCAAAGCAACATTTTTTCAGGTATTTAAGAATTTTTTAAAGAAGTCTGAGCCACTGAATACAAATACAAATCTACCGCGAACAAGCTACTAACATTTTGACACCAAAGTTAATTAAAAATTTTAGATAATATATTTCTGACAGATAATAATGGTAAATTTAAAACATCACAAATGCTAACTAAAATGGAATTTTGTCACTTCCCAAATAAAACTATTTAACAACTGATAAAAATCGATTCTTCTGTACGTTTAGAAAGTGTATTTACATTCCTGTAAGTTGATCTGTGCAGTTTCATTGGTATTAAATTACAAATCTGCATGCTGCACTTTTCCAAACTTTTCTACCACAGTTAATGAACAATTATGATATCAAGCTTCATCCTGCAATGACTGATTGAAAGCATCTCACTGAATATTTGGCCCTTGACAGCTCCTGAATTCACCCACTTTCCATGAGTGACTCCAAACATGGGCACAGGTCTGCACTCCAGCATAACTCCAAGCTGCCAACAAGACTACTACGTACGACTAATTAGAAGCTTCAACTTAAACTTTAGACTATTGCATTTTGTTAAATTCCTGGCCGTGTTTCAAAACCATGACAAGTCTAATCTCTGCCATGTCCATGCAATCCGAGTATCTTTTTTCAGTTACTGCTACAGGCACAACTCTCAGATTAATGTTGCCATCTGTTTTCTTGCATTCTTTGCTCCGCCTCTTCCTCATTCAGCCATCCTTACCTTTCAATTTCCTCTTTTCAGTTACTTTTCCCACTAATCCTGAATTCAATCCCTCTCTATTACTCTGCCTTCTTACTTCGGTGCTACCATCCGAGGCTCAAAATTCACTTTAATAAATCTGCAGCGCTCACTGAAGGACCTGCCACTGCCTCATCAAGAACCTCCTGAACTGCTTCATCTTCCCGTTTCACTGAGCTTCCACCCAGTGAAGGCTGACCTCACCAGCACTTCTTCAGATTCCACTGGACTCCGCTGCCAGATCAATAAAACCTCTCAATGTAAATCCCCAGAATGGCTACATACTCCCAAAAAAAACACACACCCCCATATATATACAGACACACACAAACAACATGGGGAGTGACAATATTAACACCTTACCTCAATTATCTTGGGCTAATTGTGACTGTTCAAAATCTGGAAACAAAATCCACGCAGCTAAATTTGTGTCCTGCTGACTCCAGCCTCCTAAGCATGCTCCTCAACTTCCAGACTCAAAGTTCTACAATCCCCTTCCTAATATCCAAGCCATCTCTCCTCCTTTAAAATCAATTACCTTTCAAATACATTAAAGATGCATTATTGGGCTTGATGGCAAGTAATTACCCCTGTAAACATGCCTTTATGATTTTGACCATATCTTTTATCAACATGTTTCTCTAATCTCTCCAGAGATGGACTGAACAGAGTTTGATTTTGGTATTTGACCATTATTTCTTCTTTGCATGCGGGCAATGCCTACATGTAGCACAAGAAAACATGCAATGTTATCCTTTGCTTGACTTAAACAAGGTGAATTTGAGCTATCATTCGGTCTCTTCATGTTATAGTTTCCTCTTCAATAAGCCTGACTGCAATTACAGTTCTTCTGCTGCATCAAGTCCTTCTGCTGTCCTGAGTCTCAGCCCCCATCTGATTCCATTTGCACCATATTAAAAAAAAGGCATAAGCAATTGTCCTGTACATCAGAAATGAGGAGCATTCCAAATGCTGAGACTACAGCTCTGACCTTCTAACCAGCTTGCTAGGGCAAGTCATTGTTCATTCAAAATGGGACGTTGGATAAGTAACCCGATAGCAGGAACAGTAGACAGCTTGAGAAAGGTATGAGAAGTCAAGCAATGCAACAAACTATCTCGACTGTGTTGGACGTCAACAAGGAGCAACAGCTAAATGAATAGTGGATGCCCCACTCCCGAGACTGAGATTTCATGGGACAGGAATCTGATGTGGATGATACAGGGATGGGAAGTAAAACCATTGCATGAGAAGTTCTCATTATGATTAGCTAGTTAAATTAGAACAATGCAAAGCAAGTTCAACAATGTGTATCAGGGTCATGCTTAATTGTATTAAGAATATGCTGTCCACAGATTTTGGTATGTATGTTGTAGCCTCATCAACTCCATTCAGAAACAATGCAGGATGAGCTGCCAAACAATACCATTTTCTGACATTTGCTTTTGTACAATTGTTGGGCACTTTGCTTCTAAGTATTTCCAAGATGATATTTTTGATGCCTGGTAATTGACAATCAGATGTTGGTTTTCTTATTGAATTGTTGAACAGTGTGGAATCTGAATTGCCACATAATGATAGAAAACAGCGAGTGGGCAATACTTTTGATTCACCAGATGTTCAAGTAGAGGGCGGAACAATTTCTGGCTGATTATCAGTTCATCCAATGCTGCTATAACACTGAAAAGGGGAACTATGCAGTTAGTGATGATGATTTTGTTTTACCAATGCCCAAGAAGTGTCCAGACACGCTTTCCCCCACCTGGTAAAGATCTAGCATCACTTTTTCCAACCAGCATTTATCCTCTGTTAAGTAATTCCGAGTGAAGTTTGAAGGGGAGAATGCAAAGGAAAGCTTCGGATTGCTATGAGATTTGTAATTTCACCAGTTGTTGCAATAGTCAATAGGTTTATACAAGAGTCCTTGGCTCTCCCTGCAAGGAAATAAAACTGAATGACCACAGTTCTGCTAACAGCTTTTCAAACATCTTATGCAATTATTAAAAATAGCAGCACTAGGTTCGGCAAAAAGTACCCACAAATTTGTGCTACTTCAGCATTACTTAAACAGAGATGATTAAAGGCTCTGAGGTCTGCGCGAAATGGTCAACCGATAAGGTTCAACTTAAATAAAAACAGAAATTTCTGGAGAATCTCAGAAGGACCGGCAGATCTGTGCATAACAGATCAGTGTCAATGTTTTCAGTCCAATATGACTCCTCTTCAGAATCCCAGAGGTAGATAAAGTTAGGTAAAGGGATACAAATAGGTTAGGCGAGTACGCGAAAATCTAGCAAACGGAATACAAAATGGAAAAATGTAAAACTGCCCAATTTGGCAGGAAGAATTTTAAAAAAAAGTATACTATTTAAATGTGAGAGATTGCAGAATCCGGAGATGCAGAGGAAAACGCATGTGCTACTGTCAGAATTACAAAACGTTAGTACGCAGGTACGGCAAGTAATTCAGAAACTAAATAAAATGTTATTGTCTATTGCAAGTGGAACAGAATTCAAAAGCACGGGATTTAAGCTACAGCCAGAGCGGGCACTGGTGACAGTATATGTTGAGTCCTGTGTACAGTACTGGACTCCTTATTGAAGGAAGAAAGGAAATGCAATGGACTTGATTTAGAGCAAGTGTACTAGACTAGTGCCTGGAATGGCAGGGTTATCTTATGCGTACAGGTTGGATGGTCTCGGCTTCTATCCACTGTAGTTTAGAGAACTAAGAGACAATTGAGTTAAACAGACAAGATCTGGAGAGGCTTTGATAGGATCAAAGGTACATCTCCTCTTCTGAGAGAATCCAGACTGAGGTGGGGTCAGGGATGTGGTGAGTGTTTAAAAAAATAAGGAGAGTCCTATTCAAGACAGGAATGAGGAGAATTCTTTTGACCTCAAAAGGACCTTAAATCTTTGCAACTGTCTTCCTCTAATTATGGTACAAGCAAAACATGCAGATGTTTTTAAGGCACAAGTGGGTAGATGTTTTCGCAAGCAAGGGGGTAAAAGGTTAGCAGGGGTAGGTGGGATGGTGAAGTTGAGGTTAAAATTGATTAGCTATGATCTTATTAAATGGTGGCACAGGCTTGAGGGACTGAATGGTCTCTTTCTGTTGCTATCATGTATGTTTGCACATAGACTTGTTAATGCACATCCCTCCGAGACATGGGATAAACTTCAGTCTGTGCTTCGACATGTCTGACAACTTTAACAGTAACATTCAGCATAGAAATATTTTATTCAGAAGCATTAATTATAGTGCAAAAAATATTCAAGAAAATTGAACACAAATGCCCCTTGGAGGTGACTGGCAACCACTGATAAATGATATTTTATATGTTGCAGTCAATTTGTTACAGCCATAACATTTTATATCCATAAAACTATTTCATTCATTTATATTTTACTCAACCTATACAGATTCAAAAAATAATAGTCATTCAGCACAGGAACAGACCCTTTGGTCCAACTCGTCCATACCAACAAGTTTCCCAAACTAAAATAGTCCCACTTGCCTGCATCTGGCCCATATCCCTCTAAACCTTTACTATTCATGTATCTGTCCAAATGTCTTTTAAATATTGTAACTGTACCTGCATCTACCACTTCCTCTGGCAGTTCATTCCACATTCAACCGCCCTCTGAAAATGTTGCCCTTGAGGACCCTTTTAAATCTTTCTCCTCTCACCTCAAAAATATACCTTTTAGTTTTGAATTCCCTTACCCTAGGGAAAAGACCTTTGCTGTTCACGTTATCTGTGCCCCTCACGATTTTATAAACATCTATAAAGGTCACCCCTGAACCTCCTAAGCTCCAGGGAAAAAAACAGTCCTAGCCTATCCAGCTTCTCCTTACAATTCAAATCCTTCAGTCCCAGTAACATCCTTGTAAATCTTTTCTGAACCCTCTCCAATTTAATAATATCCTTCCTATAGCAGGGAACCAGAACAATACA